TACTACCTGGGACTTTGGTAATAATGTGAGCAGTACTGAGTTCCGATTACGCATTATTTTGTGTGAGGGAAATGAGAGATCATGGGATATCTCATGTGATATTAATGGACGAATTATGTTTCTTTAATCAGAAAAGGGGGGAAATCGGGAAAAAATCTGGAAATTTTGTATTTGGCTTTATTCTGTGTTGTGTGAAACAGTGTTCGTGAATTTTTTGGATCCCATGGCCGTAACTAAAGTGAATTCGAAATGGGTATTTATGTATGTATTAATTTAATGTATGTGCTCATTTATATATTTAAGTAGTGTTTTTGAATTTAATTATATTTTAATTAAATGATAGTTATTTTGTGAATTTTATGTTTGTAGGAATTTGGTATACGTTTTAAGTTGAAGTAAACGTGCATGGAAATAATTTAAATTTGATACTAAGTATTTGTAATGCTTGCGATATGAATTCGTTGGTGACGTGTATAATGTAATAGATGATTTAGAGGTAAAAGTTTTTGGATATTTTGATTTTATTTTATATATGTGAAAATGGTTCATATTTGGAAAGGTAAAATACTTTTTCGCATCAGGTAATTTCATATATGTTCTTTTTAAAGGTTTAAAGATTGAGAAAATTGTCATGTATTTTCGTGAAATTTTTACTAATTTATGAGAAAAAAGAGCAGTGTACATGGATATAGTGAAGAGTGTGCGCATGCCATTTTTTGTGCACATTCGGTATGTTTTTTTAAAGAAAAAATACGTCGGGGGTGTACAGGTTTATGGTATGTGTTATTTTGAAAAACGCGTAAGGAGTATGGTATTGTGCACTTTTTCCCAATTTTGCAGTGAATATTTGTCATGATTAAGCAGTTTTGTTAGATAAAATTTCTAGCATAAGTGTTTCGGCTAGTAGATTTGTGGAAGAAGTGTTCAGTAGATAAAAAGAAAGAAAAACATGTCTTTACTTCGTGAAGACAAAATGGCGGCGGGAAAAAAAATAGAGGGTTGCTGTAAGAGAGTTGGTCGCCAACTTTTCGCCAAAAAAACGCCAAGTTACCATAATGTAAAGATCAACTGAAAGGTCAAGTATCTAATTTAAAACAGGTTGTGCATTAGTCCACACCTCACGTTAACCTTTGGGGAATCCCTTTGTGCTTCACGGTATTCATGGGGGTTTTCCCATATGCACACATTAGTTGCCAAAACCAAAAGAGAGAAAAATGCAATTAATAAGCAGACCATATTTAGAAAAGTACAGATATTTAGACTGGAAAATGAAATTATCTGAAATTAACCACACGTGCAGATGATATTTACAAAAGTAAAGATATTCAAACCTGAAAAGGAAAATTTATAAGTTAATCCATCTATAAATGCCATAAGTTTGTTTATATCTACATTATTTTATGAGTTATTAAACATCAAACTGGGTCCGTGACTTTATAAACACCCTCTATGTATACAGCAAAATCATATTTGTAACTGTATTAAAGCATGCATTTACGTGATGTACCAAGGAAAGATAAACTTAAGTACTGAAATTATCCTTAAAAAAAGGAAGAAAAAAGTAATTTAAAATTAAGGAAAGAGCATGCATTTTGTAACTAGTAGAAAACAGGGTTAGCCTATGTTTTAGGGAATCCCTTGGATTATCCCCAAGTTGTTGTTTCATTTATGGTAACCTGAGTAGTTGAAGGTTATGGAAACCCTATTATGATGTGAATGGTTGTGTGATTGTGGTGAATTCGACTGATGGGAAAATATTTGTAAGAGCTTATTTATGTGTTGGATGTTGTTTAAGAAGTACATTGCTTATTTTGTGCTTTACTCCAGAATATGCCTGCTGGTGGTATGATTAACCTAAAGTTTCTGTGCACTTTAGAATGACTAATAAAGAAAACATTGATTAACTAAGGTGTAAATGAAGATTTAAACGGCTTCATCTCTCATTAAATTATGCAATGAGATTTAAGGCTTTTGAAAGAGCTTATATCAACGCTATGAAAAGGATGTGGGGTGTAATAAAAAGGGATTTTTGAACGAAATGCCATTGGCAGTATGGAGAATATTTTTCATTTTTACTTTTGTGAATTTATGTGGCGATGGCAGTATACAGATTCTAGTTTAGATAATTTTAAATTGTTTTTGGATGCTGTTAAGGAATTCTGTGTGTCTCACATACCAAAGAGGCAGATATGTTTAAAGTTGATATTTCCTTTTTGTTATGCATAGATTACATAACATGTATTTCCATTCTTATGTTATTTCTCTTGTTTGATTTAAAATGCAGTTTATTGAAATTATATATTTTTTGTTTTAATTATGGGTTAGTCTAAATTTTAGGGTGCCTGTTGGATTATCTCCAAGTTGTTGTTTCATTTATCACCAAATTGTTGCTTCATTTACGGTAACCTGAGTAGTTGGTTGTTATGGAAACCCTATTATGACATGATAAATTGCATGATTTCAGTAAATTTGACTGATGGGAAAATATTTATAAGGGCCTATTTCTGTGTTAGATGTTAGGTAGGAAGTATGTTGTTTATTTTGTGCTGTGCACCATGAAATGTCTATATGTGATGAGATTAATGGGAAGTTTCTGTACGATTTGGAGCAAAAGGGGGGGGGAAGCGTTAATTGACTGGTGTGTAAATGAAGGTTTACTTAGTAGTAAGTGTCCTGTTTATACAAAAGAAATGCATATGGTAAAACGTAAAGATTATTCAGATGGCTATGAATGGATTTGTCGCAAGAAATACCACCAATAGTCCGGCACTATGGAGGATATTTTAGATTCTTATTTTTGTGAATTTATGTGGTGATGGCAGTATGCATATTCTAGTTGAGGTAATTTTAGAAAGTTTTTGAATGCTATTAAGGAATTTTGTGTGCCACAGACTGAAGACACAAAAATTTGGTTAGAGTTGACTTTAGGGTACCCCTTGTATTATCGCGAAGTTGTTTCATTTATTTCCAAGTTGTTCTTTGTAACCAAGTGTTAATGTTAGGAAATCCTATTACGACATAATCGTTTGCATTATTCTAGGGAATTTTGAATCGTGGGGTGTTTTGTAAGGGCTTTTGTGGTATGTGTGGTTAGGAAGTACATTGCTTGTTTCATTGTCTGGACTGAATGTAGTAATGGCTGAATGTAGTAAGATTAATTTGAAGTTTCTGTATGATTTGGAATGAAAGGGGAAAAGTTCATTAATTGACGGTGTGTAAAGAAGGTTACTTAGTAGCCATTTTCCGGACAGTCCAGAATACGTAGGATTATTTTTCCTCTTATTTGTGTGAATTTATGGCTATGCCAATATGCAGATCTAGTTAAGATAATTTAGAAGTTTTTGGTTGCTTGTTAAGGAATTTTGTGTGCTAACGGACTGAATCGAAGAGATTTCTAAATAGGTAGTGGATATTGCTTGTGTAGTGCTTAAATGCCATACAGGTTTTTCCTTTTTTTTTTTTTTTTTAGTGCTTGGTTTAAAATGTAGTTTATTGAGATTATGAACTTTTTGTTTGCCACTACTGTAGAATTGGGTGCTCTTTTGATTTTTAAGTGAAAATATATTGATGTGTACATGGATAAACTCAAGGAAGTGCTCAAAGCCTAGTTTGTGCAATTCTCTGATATTTTTTCAAGTGAAAATAGTTTGATGTGTAAATGGATAAAGTCAAGGAAGTGCACAATGCTATTTTTGTGCAAGTCTGGGAATTTTTTTAAAGTGAAAATAGGTCGATGTGTACATGGATACCGAGTTTGTATAATTCTTTGTCTTGTTATTTTGGCTTTGTGTAGTGGCTATCTTGAAATTGTGCCTTGCTGGCCAATTGCCAAGTTTTGCCAAGGGGTACCCTTAAATATATTTTTACATAATTATGTTTTATTGCATTATGTTTTGGATGCCATTTTACTTGGGAGGGCATTGGACATAAACAGGAATGGTGCTAAAAAATTGCCAATTTTTGACAAGGAGTACCCTGAAATATAAATTTACTGGAAACAGTCGCACATTTTTTTAATACAACATACGCATTTGAATCTTTGACTTCTTTTGAGAGAATGGACGTATTTTATTTATGATGTAATTTCTAAACTCTTCTAAAGGAGTATAATTGGAATAGCATATCAGCATCCTGAGATATTCCCAAAGGTAGTAAATCTTGGGGATTTAGATCAGGGAAGTTTGGTAGTCAACATCTCACACTTAACAGTCAAAGGTAATATTGACTCTGTCATCAAAGTACATATTCATTCAGAAGTATGAAGACTGGTAGTTCTAAGATGGATACATGCATCAAAAATACCCATGATCTTACCAGTTTTCCAGTAGGTATTGTATATACTTTACTTCTGGCATTTTTAATTGCAGATTTTAGTTTCAAGCTTTGCTTAAAATGGTCATCCAGTTCTCTCTGTATGGGCATCAAGTACAGTGCCAGCTGCTTCAGAGGAATGAGGTTATTAAAATTTCTTTTAGAAGGAAAATTTTTATAGTAAATTTCTACCTCTAGTCCCCTACCCCGAATTAATATGAAATTTTCTACTTGATAGGTAGATTTTCCGAAAAGGTTTTGAAATAAAAATATCTATTCTTTTGTTTTGAACCAGTGTTATAACATCTTAGCATATGAATTTCAAACTGTGGGGGAAAAAAATCAGGTGAATCACTAGTAAAATTTTGTTGTGGTTAATTATTGAGCAATATCTTACAATATTTAAAGCAAAAGAAAAAGGGAGGAAGAAACATGGTGAAACTAAGTTAAAGGAACTTTTCTCAATATTTTTATATTATATTCTTTACTGTTCTAACAATAACCAAATATACAATAAAAGTGATTGTTAGAGATGTAACTATTTCCAACTTTATTATTAGCAATTTTCTTATGTTAGGTATTCTTAATTTAAAAGATATTGATATGTTAACTTTTTTTATTAAAAAATTTTACATTGTTTGATTTCTCTTCTAATTAGATATATTTATTTATAAAAAATTAATTTTCAGAAGCTAAAAATATCTCTTCACTATGCTGTCTGCAAAATCTGTGCTGAAGTTGCTAAAGAATATGAAGCAGAATTTGACAAAGAATGTATGGCCATCTTATCAGAATTAGCATTTCGTCAAGCTGGTCTTTATGCTAAGGATCTGGAGTTATTTGCCAAGTAAGTTATTTGTCTTTTCTTTTAATAACTACATAATATTCAAGCTAATTTACTGAATATTTTCAGCAACATCATAAAATTAATACTATTAATTCAACAGTACAAAATTATTAGAAATCTTAGTATTTTTTTGATTAATATAGGGACCTTTAAAAATACTGTAAATTCCAGATAACCTCATTAATCTTTAACTGCTGTGAGTGGTCTGAGAGACCGCTGAGGATTTTTTAACCATCGTTTCCACCCCTAAAAACGGAGAATAGTCCCTATCCTTCCTCCTACCTTCCCAAATCCTTCCCACAAGGTCACATATCCAGTTTCACACTTCTAAATTTATAATGGTTTCAGTTACCACGTTTTTTACTTTTTAAGTTGTCTGGGAGACCACTCGCAGCAGATGCGTACCAGTTTTAGTAGACGATAGATGTTACTTATTGGATGCATGTTTTTCATAAAAGTGATAAATATGTTTTCAAATAGACATCCCGTATATCTCACTCAAAAAGAAATTGAATATCTTGTCAACAATATTTTTGATGTAGAATGCTCTGATTCTGAAGAATCATGTAGTCTTCACAGTGAAAGCAAAAAGTGAATCTGAGCTTTCTGCAGATGAATATCATAATTTTTCTAATGACTGTAAACAAAATGATAATTTTTATGGAAAAAAGCACTTCAGATGGTGCAAAAAAGAACCATATCAGGTGGTACGAACACCAAAGCATAACAGAATAATTCAGCTCCTTGGTCTGAAACATCCTGCAAAAATAGACTCTAGAGCAGAGCCCAAAGATACTTGGAATTTATATCAAGATTTAAATGCATACTGTTCCAGTCATATCCTGATACTACAAAACTAAAAAAAAAAAAAAAAAAAAAGACTTTTATTAGCTGATGATGATAATGTTGTGTCTATGACAAAGTGCAATTATATAGCTCTGAAGCTGTCAAAGACAGCTTTTGCAACCTCCGCAGCTCTATCAGTATAAGCAGTCCACAGGGTCTTCAATGCCGATGTTAAGCAGTCTGGCCTGGATTGCTGGGCAGCTTGAGATGTGATGGCGAGACAGTGGTGTCATCGGGCAATGAGGACAAAGGTTGTGTAACTACACTGTCCCCTGCAGAAATCCTCATCCTTTTTAGTGATTTGTCCAAGGTTAGTTATGATAGTCGATATGGGCTCTGCATAGTTCAATTCCAGGATGAGTTTCCTTTAACTGACCAATTATCTTTGTCTGGCAACTGCTTGGCAATCAAGAGGGTTAGGCATAGATGGCTGGGAAATCACGGGATGCCTTTGCAAGCGCAGGCCTTCTATTGCCAAAAATTTATGAGCCGTATCCATTGTAAGATGCAGATCTTTGGGCAGCAATTTTTGTTGTGAGCTCAATGTTCTGATGACTGAGTGACATTTGCCCTTGGTCGCTTTAATGCTGATCGCAGTCAGAAAGATGATGATGATGCTCTTGGACTTGTCTCTTTAAGAGATAAATCTCCAGAGCACTTTTGATGGCGACAAGCTCGCATGTATAGTTGGAGGTGATTTTCCCAACAAGAATACTGTCTCATTTCTGCACTCCATCTGGTCCGATGAAAAAGACTCCCACTCCTCCTCTGTTCCTAGCAGATATTTCACAATTCATAGAAAAAGAAGCTGCCAGAGCCTCGAAGAGGATTAGCTTTTATTAGCTAATCAACTTATTAAACCACATCTGAAAGTTGGGATAACTTCCACTTTTTTGCCAAGGGAACTGAAGTTAACAGTTAGAAGAACCCTTGAACAGACGGAAATTAAGAGAATGGAGTTATCAAATCAAGAAGAAAAATTAAAAGAAAGAAAAATATGTAGTCTATACCCACCTTGTAAGAAGAGAAAAGCAGTGTACAAATGCTTAAAATGCAAGGAACCAGTGTGTCTTCAGTGCTCCCAAAAAATGTGGTTTGATTGTGTATCGTCGAATGATTAATTTTTGTAAACAAAGATATTTATTAATAAATAAATTCACTGTTGTAGAATTATAGTTTAATTGACAGTAATACTTAATAAAGTCACATGTTTTCATGCATATTTAATAAAATCTTTGTTTTCTTTAAAAGTTTTGTTACTTAAAACGAAGAAAATAGTCATTTTTTATATGAATTAAACTATGTAAAATTAAATTATTTATATTTAAAATATATTGATTTAAATAAATTAGAATTCCATAAATATGCATTAAGTATCTAAAACATTCCTTAAAAAGGCATAAAAGTATGTATTTTTCTGCGTTTCTTTAAAGCGGTGTGTAAGACTGCTTACAGTAATTATGCCGAAAAATTGTCACAGCAGTTAAAGTTTAAGTATCTGATTACATATTTCTGTAGTGAAAACCTTTTTTTCTCAGTGTCAACACAACTAGATGAAAGTGGTGTTATAATAAAGGAAACATGGTGACTAAAAAAAAAAGGTTCATATATATTAATGCAATCACCACTTAGAAGTAACCAAATTTTCAGAATGTCCCAACTCTGGCTGCCGTATGGATAATCATTCTTTTGCCAACCATGCTCATAGCAGTCCTTCTGTCAAGTAATGCTGCCATTTTCATGTAGGTGGTGTTTTTTTTATTTTTTTTATTCCAAGTTCCAAAGGCTATTATAAACAAATCATGATATTTTTGCTTTAGTTTTAAAATACAAGCTTTTGGAATTTGCCAGCAATGGAAGAAACTGTGGTAAAACTGCTGCAAAAATACAGAAAATGTTCTAAGGGGAACTAAGAGGAAATGTATTTTCTTTATAGATGCTTTTGATGAGGATTTCACAGAGCTGAGTCTCTGTAATTCTGTGATATTTTTTAAGGGAAAACAGATTACTGTGTACTTGGGGAGAAGAACAGGGCAAAAGAATTATAGAAACATTTGAAGAAGAATATGCATTTTCTTTTTTTTTTTTAATACATCACATAATCCTTATGCATTTTAAATTACTAAAGTATGTTTTCTTTTCATATGTTGATAATGTTTACTGACTTTCGATAAATGTTGATAGTCTTACTGACTTTCGATAAATGTTGATCTCTTTACTGTAAATTGGATGTAGGCTTTAGATAATTTTTGCAATTCCTAATTATTTCACAGAATTCTCACATTTTAATTATTCTTTGATTTAACAAAACTTCCTGGATAGTATTAATTTATTTTATTTAAATTTATTTAACTATCTCAGCTGTATTAGCACTGAATTTTAGCTTTGAAAGTCCTTGAACTTGTAAACATCAAATACATCAAAATCTTACTTCAAACAAATTGTGTGCTGTACAAAATTTCAAATGTGCCGTAAAAAATTGCTCATCAGACATACAACTATGCTATTGAATTTTGTTGTACGATACAGAAAAATCATATTGTGAGGTTATCATCTAAATAATGAATTCTTAGTTTAATTTGTTATAAAGCTAGTGAGTATTTTTACAAAATGAAAACAAAACTGCAAACACTTTAATTTAATATTTGAGAGCTGATTAATATTTACAGATGGTTGGAAAGACTTTGATGTAACAGATAGTTACCAAAATGTAAATGGTGAATTTTCACTTCAAATGTTTCTTCGCAGCAAGTAAATTATCGTCTAAAAATAAAAGCTGGCCTGTGTGTATTTGGAGATTTTTTAAATCTTGATATAGTTTTTTCCTTAATTAAATTTAATGCTGAAGCCTTCTTACATATAGCTACTTAGTGATCTAACAAATTACCATAGAATTTAGTTCTTTGCAGCACCTGAAGGATGTGTGTGTGTGGGGGGGGTAAGCTTTCAAGTGAAATTTTTTTAGAGTTTATAACATAATTTATAAATTTGTGCATTTTTCCTTTTTCCCCCTTTAAGTTACCATGAATTTGCAACAGTGATTAAATTTTAAATCAAGATATAAAGCCTCATTGTGAGCAACTTCAGAGTTTTAAAGGATGACAAGATCAGATTTCCAAATCAAAGAGAAGTTTAGCTCTTTGATAATAAGCGAGGCAAAATCTGTTACCCTGAAAGGTCTGAAATGGCCATGATATGAATTTCTGTTGGAATGAATTTCCTCCTCCCCTCTGCTTAGTAGACTGCTACAGTACTAACGATAACCTACTTAAGTGGAACTATTGCTTTATAAGGATTTATTTATTTTTCGTCTAACAACTTATTTTATAATTAAGACACAATAACACGCCAAAAATTTTGAAAATATAATGCTGATTTTTGTTGTTTTACTTCTGAATTAACTTATTTTATGTTAACTTTATTATCATTTTCATTTTTCAGCCAGGATGCTAATTTTAGTTTGTGCATATTCAAATGAGGTAGAAACAGATAGTATTTAAAGGAAGGTTTTAATGTGCACTCTGCATGCATAAGTCCATGTGACTACATGCGGTTCTAAGATAGTAGTCTGTTTTTGGTATTGCAATATTCTTGCCAATTGTTCTTGTCACGTCGGTATAGACTTGAGCCAGCTTGCATGTTATTTATTTCTGTGTAGCCCTTGGCTAACTTATGACTGATTTTTAATTTGAATTCTTATCATTTTGAGTTATGACATAAATACTGGCTAAGTTTGTAAGCACAAGAAGTGTCTTATGTTAAATTATTTTGAGTTCTGAATAAAAGGGTCTAAAGGAAAAGAAGGGTGTAACTTCTTATTTTCTGCCTTTCTTTTTACTAGACACAGCGATAGGGAATGTTTGGAAAATTCAAATTTTTTAGCATAATGTCACAAGCCAAGAAATAATGTGTAGTTTTTGCTTTATTTCTTGAAAAATGTAATAAATGCAAAATGTAGTAACAGAAGATAAATAAATTTTGTTTCAGTGTAAAATAATAATAATAATAATAAGTGTAAAATTATAATAATAATAAGTGTAAACTAATCTAATACTAGTATAATAATAATAATAATAAGTGTAAAAAAAGAATCTAAAAATTTTCAGTGTAAAAGAATAATATCCTCCTCTCCTTCCCCCTCAAAAAGAAGCGTAATGCGGATATGCGCTTGCTTTAATTTTTCTGAATTGGACATAGTAAGTAAAAAGAATCTAATTCTCAAATATTCTTTATAAGTATATATATTGTAATATTTAAATATTACAAATAAAATAGGGTAATATGCAAGAGGTAATAAACTTTAAAGGCAGCTTTTGGTGGCAGGGCAAGAGATGTCATATGGGCATAACCAAAGAAGAATGATTGTGCTCATCAGATTTAAGAGCAGGAGTGGTGAAACATGTTTTTGTCAAAATTATGCTCTTGTTGCATGCTTCAGTAATTTGTTGGATTAATGCAAGAAAAGTTTTGCTCAAACAATTGCAGTAACATTTAATTCATTTCATCCAATAATTAAGTGGCTTTACTTCTACCAATTTTGCCAATATATATATATATATATATATATATATAAGAGCCATGTAAAATTTGGTTTAAGCATAAGCAGCAGGGAAAATACCTTAGGGTAAATTTCTGTCAATAGAGCAGTAGTCTTCACCAAATATAGATACTGGTGCTAAATGTAGCCTGAAATAGTAACAGCAAGCCTAGTGATACATATAAGATGTATTACTATTTTAAAATATATTTTTTCATGAGTATTTCAGAAAAAATATTAAAGTTTTATGAAGTGAATTATTTGCCGTTCTTTTTATTGTGGTATTACTTTGGGTGAAGCATTGTTTTGGTACTAAAACTAAACTCAGTGGCATAACACCACTAATGGACCAAGGCCTGCAGTGCCCGAAATCTGCTTTCTTGACCGTGGGCCCTGGGTTGCATAAGCATATGCCCTGAACAAGTGGTCAGCTTGTCGCAGGACCCCCAGTGTTTAGTCCCCAAGCGAACTTGGTACTCATTTTATCTACCCAAGTGATGGAAATCAAGTAATGAAAGGCTGAGTCGACCTTGCCAAGCTCGGGAATCAAACCCCGAACCTGTGGTGCTGCTGCGCGATGTGCTAGCCACTGCGCCACCGTGCCTGTTTTAGTACTATATTAGCACTAAAAAATCTTGTGGTTATTTGAACAAAGGTATTTAGTAAAAAGGATAGTTCTTTTGCGCTGATAGAATTTAACAGTAGACACTTAATCATCAGTCAGTTGCCAAATTTTAAAACCTGTCTTGGCTGTTTTCTAAAAAAATTAGGAACAAATCAGAAATCTTGTATAAAAAACATATGTAGATTACAAAATGATGAATCCCAGTATTTGGTGCTGTGTGCAGTTGCTATCATCAACATGTTTATGTAGGTTTTAGCTGCTGCTTTGTCAACAGAAAAGTATCACTATTTTTGGTACTGATATAATTTTTATATTGATTTTAATGCATATTCATTTTATTGTTATTTACACTGTGTTGTTAATTGTTATATTATTCTTTTCCATAAAATTCATTAGATATTGCATTCCCAATTTTATTTGCAAAGCCAATATTTAACCCCCAAATACTTTTTTCTAGGCATGCTAAAAGGTCTACAATCAACATTGATGATGTCAAACTGCTAGTCAGGAGAAACGAAAGTTTAGTATGTAATTTTTCTGATTACTGTTTTGAAGTAATTCAGTTTCTAACCAAATAAGTTAACTTTTAAATAATTGTGACTGCTTAAATTAAAACCTTTACTGTTAATTTGCTGTTTCCTTTGATGGTGCCTTTCTACTTTTCTGTGTGGTTAAACACTGTTTTCTATATTTAGCTAAAATTTTAAAGTTAATGAATTTATCAACCATTATTATTAGTTTTATTCATTCATCATTCAGTACACAAAGGATAAGCTGTAAAATTTTCACATTTTTTCCCTACATGTTTATTATAAATATTTTTTATTATTGTATAATTTTATAATTTATAATAATTTAGGAAACTTTTATGACAGAATGGGACAAATAGACATTTAAAACTGTATGCTTGGAACTAGTTAAATACCAAAATATTAAGATTACTCTTTAAAAAATTATTTATTTTACTTATTTATTTATTTTATTAGCAGAGGTACTATTACTCTTGATCCTCAGTTTTACATTGACTCACTTTTAAAACTGCCATATCACTTTTAAAATAAAAGGATGCTACTAGCAAATGTTATCGCCATGTATTACTCCATGCAGCCATACGAGCTCTGGCACTGGTTCTGGGTTTATGCGAATAACAAATCAGTTATTCTTAATTCAAATAGCATTAAATGTATTCTTTTGGCCTATGAGTATCATTAACAAAACTTACTTTTAGCATATGGAAAGATGTTTTTGTTAAATTTTTCCTTTCAACATTTATTAGTGCATTTAACTTAAATCTGTAATCATCACCAAGCATAATAACAACATAACCATACTCTGTTATTCAATTACTAATACAAAAAATTGTTTAGGCATCGGTACATGAGTCATTATTCAAGTTGTCATGTCTTGATAAACATGCGGTGATGAAAGCAAAATATCATAAATTATGATTCGCCAGATTGGCGTGAGGTGTATTAAAATATTAGTAGATGTAAAAGCAAGGATGTTTCTATATAGAATGTTTCGATTTGAAATGCAGTATGCCAAGCAGATACACAGCTATGGAGCCAAATTATTGATCATATAAATTTATTCTAAAATAATTGTTTCTTCAGTAGTGAGGTATTTTATTTAGTGCCGAAGTGAAATTGAGAATCGAGACTCTCCACATGTTTTATTGTGCATGGGGGGGGGATCAAATGTGCATTCATAAAGCATACACACACAAAATAAATAAAAAATTTTCAAAAAAAGTTGGTGGCAGCTTCCGGAATTTGGACATCTGGATCTTGAACATACTGTATTGTATTATTATTGTACTGTATTACAGCTATCTTGTTGGTTCAATGAAAAGTCTACTGAAATTCTATTATTCTCAAAAAGAATTATAAAATTGAAATTATTGAATTATAAAAAATTATAAGAGATACTCAGGCAAAGATAAAAAATTATGAAAGATACTCAACAGAAAATATTAATTCTTTTCATCCCCAATCTGCTTTCCATTAGATGAAGTAATTTCTTTAAAAAATTCTTTTTCTGTTTTTAAACAGCAAAGAATGTGCTGTAATAAATTCTTTGCTTTTAGAAAAGTAGTATATTAGATTACTGAAAGTTATGTAAAGATATTGACATTTCAACAGATGTGTTGTATAAAACTCTATATTCTTAGTAACTTTTAAGAGTTTTCCATTTTACATAAGATTTTTAATTAAAGCTGCAGTGGTATTTTAATGTTAGAAATCTTAAAAAATAAAAAGTAGCTGGCCTTGAATGTAAGTCTGGTAAAATTTTTAAATTGAAAAAAATAAAAAGTAAATAAAGTATAAAATGACTAAATAAATGTAAAATAGATATTGAAAAAAAAATTATTTTAAAATCATTTTGGATTCTAAGACCTCAGTTATTTAAGATGCAATCGTTGGGGAGTTAAGAGAAATAAGTTGTTAAATCATTCATTTTGAATTTAAGCCACACCTTAATTTTACATCTTACAGATCTGAATAAAAATGCAGGTTAAATTTGAAGTAATATGGTAATTAGGGATTATAATTATTTCATTCCAAACCTTATATTTTTTTTAATAAGAGGAACTATTATTTACAGTTAGAACATGTCAACAAAATGGCTGCAGATCTAATGGCTAATGCTGCACAACGAAAGAGCAAGAAAAAGAAAACAGAAACTGAATCTGTTAGTTAAATTTCCATTTCTGCTTTGTAATTAAAATTTCCTATAATATCTAATTATCTGTAGACATACAAAATTATGGTGTATAAGTAGTTGTGCTGATAATGTATTCGTTATAAATATTATTTTTGTTTTCTCTATCTTTTTTAATGTAAATAAATAATTTTACTTAAATTCCTGTCATTTTTCAGTATTACAATGTGTTTGTGGCAAATATTTAATTTAATTTTATCCCATGTATTTTTTTCTGTATGAAATTTAATATTTATTTTTTGATACTAAAACTTTAGGATTTGTGATTTGTAAGTCACAATTTTAAGTTAACATAACAATTAACATAAACAATTTATTGTTCCTGAAAAACTGAAATATTTTTGAGTTGGAACATAATGCACATGAATATGAATTACAAAAATGATTCTTTCATGAAATATATCATTTTTTGGAATATATATATTTTTTTTTCATTTTTATTATCTCTCTTTTTTATGGTGAGATGGAAAATTATTCTTGAACAAAACCTTGCCCCTCTCCCAAAAAGAGGGGGAAAATGTTATTTTTCATCTATTTTTTTAAAAATAATTATTATATTTAGTGAGTTTTGACAGTTTAAATGTATGTCAGCAGGAGGGGATTTATCATGATTTATTGTGCCTTGTAAACTTCTGAAAGGAAAAATCGCTTTCATGAAGTATGAAAATTGCCAGTCTAGAAAAGTATTTCAAGTTTTTTAATATTCAAATTATTTTCCATTTCATTTAGAACAAACTTTATTTGGGGAAAAAGAAATGTTCTTTCTTCAGCTGTAAGAACTTTATTATTACCTTGCTTCAATAGTGGAAGCATTGTTTAATGCAGTCAAAAGTCTTTAATCCAGACTCATCGGGACTTCGACAATTCTGGATTATCGGTTTTTCCGGATTATAGATCATCAATTTAAATCTGGTAAGATGGCATGCAGAAATTATAAAATTAAAAATATGAAACCATAATTTATGAAATAAAGAGCATTTATGCTCTACAGGGTATCAAAATTTAAAAAAAAAAAAAAGCTTAATATTTAATTGTTTACTTTATTAAACATTTCTTTCAACGCGCACATGCGTAAATCATACATTACGCATAGTCAAAATTAGAAAATTGCAACCAGAAAACCATTTGATGTGTATTCGTGATATTTATAATGATGAGGAATTTGATTTAAATCATTTCAAAGACGGAGTACGTCGAGATGAAATACACTACATTTAGTAAGGAATTATAAGCTGAATAAAATAAAAACATCTGCCCTGAAGATAAGGATAGTGCTGACAGATCAACTTCCAGTTCATTGCTCCCCCCCCCCCCCCACAGAGCAGCATGAAATTGATAAACAGATTTCGGAATGGTTAGAGAAACAAAGGATATGCCTTTATCCATTTTTTGCTGCAATTCCATTTTTTGTTTTGATGGGCATCGAAACACGCTTTCGCTTTGTAGATCCTTTGGCAGCTCCAGAATCGGAAATTATTTTTGACATAATCGAAAGTTCAAGTTTACTTTTATAAAATTGTTCTAACAGTCTGCAAAAAATAATAAGCCAGATCCAACTAGAAGATTAAGGAACAACACAATCTGCAGCATTAACTGAAATAGATAATTAGATAATTTTAGCTTAGCTTTATGGTGATTTCCAGTTATGTTTTTACCACCAATCCTCAAATTCCATATCACAGATTATGTTCTTACTGCATTCATATAAATATTAACAAGACATAGTGCACAATAAAAGTTAAGCTTTATTTCGGAACTTCGTGCACACTGCCCGACAGCCTGCCTGTTTCGCTCTGCTCGCTACTCGTAAGAAACTTCTCCTCTAGGGTTGCCACACTTATCGGAGGGCACAAGGCGCGCTCCTTATCGCCATCACCACAGAGTTTCCCCCCAGTTTCTTTAATGGCTATTCAAAGGAATGACATAGGTTATGAAATTATCTCAGAGGATCCGTACTGTCGGGTATTTTTTACATGATTACAAAATTAGAATATAAAATTAGAAAAGATCAAAATGCAATTCAATATATAACAAAGGTATTGACACATATAATAAACATGAAATAACAAGAAATATGTTAAGATATGAATTTAAAAAAAAAAATGTTTTAAATTGTTATGTAAGAAGCAAGTTTCTTAGGGAAGTGAACATGTCTTCCCGATCTGGTGACAGTTTGTGTCTTAGAGAGTTCATTTGCAGATTTATTCTGCTGAACTGTCTTTAAGTCTTTATTTGTTTTCAGTTCAGGCAAATTAGAGTCCGAAAGCAAATAAGGCTGGTTTCACACGGTCTATAGACACAGTAGATTTCAGACTGTTAATATCAATTGTGAAAGTTTTGTCCGTTCTAGAAAGGACTTTATGCGGACCTGTATATGGTTGGCACAGAGGTGGCTTTACTCGATCGACACGTAAATATACATGCGTACACGACTTTAAGGTAGCACTTACGTAACATTTTTCTTGGCAATGTGCAGATGTTGCTGTTGGATTCAATTGTTGCATTCTACGCCGAAGATTCGTGATAAATTGTGTATCATACGAAGATATCTTAGATGACGTTATCATATCACTAGGCAGCTTGAGAGTTGTGCCGTACACCAGTTCAGCACAAGATGACTGTAGATCCTCCTTTACGGCTGTCCGAATACCAAGCATAACAACTGGTAGTGTTTCAGTCCAGTTATTGGTCTCGTGAGCCTTGAGAGAAGATTTTAAATGTCGATGAAATCGTTCAACAATACCGTTGGACATTGGATGATAGGCTGTTGTTGTGATTCTGTTCGTACCTAAAATGCGCGTAAATTCTGCAAAAAGTGCGGATCTCATTTGAGAACCTTGGTCTGTAGTTATGATCGATGGGCAGCCAAAACGAGATATCCAACAGTTGAAGATGGCTCTGCAAATGGTTTCCGTTTTCATATCCGGGATGGGAATGGTTTCAGGCCATCTGGAGAATCTATCTATGAGAGTTAAAAGGTACACGTTGCCTTCTGATGGAGGTAACGGTCCGACGATATCCATATGGATTTCTGAAAAACGTGCATCAGGAAGAGAGAATGTGCCCAGTGGTGCTTTAGTCCTAGTAATTTTCGATTTTTGGCAAGATTCACAGGATTTCACCCAATTTTTGATATGACGTTTCATATCGGGCCATACATAACGAGAACAAATAAGCTTCGTAGTAGCTGCAATTCCTGGATGTGAGAGATTGTGCAGATGATTAAAGATGAGTCTGTGAAAGGAATTTGGAACAAATGGACGAGGAATGTCCACTGATATGTCACAAAGAATATTACCTTCAGAATATTGGCACGGTTTAAATTCCAGTTTCAAAGATGATGTGTTGTTTTTGAGAAGGTCTTGTACCTCTAGATCATGCCATTGAGCTTCCGAAATTTTTTTAAAATCCAAAAATGGAGATTTTGTTATGGAATCAATTTCGATTCTTGAAAGAGCGTCAGCAACGACGTTTTTCGAACCTTACACATGCCTAATATCAGTAGAGTACTGAGAAATAAAATCTAAATGGCGCAATTGTCGAGGTGAACATTTATGAGGGTTCTGTTTAAAAGCGTACATTAACGGTTTTTGATCCATATAAATTATAAAATTTCTGCCCTCTAACATGTGTCGGAATTTCTTAATTGCAGAATAAATTCAAAATAATTCCCTATCGTAGGCGGACCATTTCTGTTGACTTTTATTGAGTTTCATATAGAAAATGCTATAGGTTCCCATGTTTGTTGAGACAACTGCATAAGTGTGCCGCCTATTGCGACGTCTGAGGCATCTACCCAGATGCTTAGCTGGGCTCCGGGAATAGGGTCTCTCAAAAGGGTAGCCTGAGCAATGGGATTTTTGGCAGCAATAAAGGCTTGTTCAGCATTCTCGTTCCAATTTAATTGTGGGGATAAATCCTGAACACGAGAACGAGATTTCTTTTTATTAATATAGCCCTCTAACAATTTTATTAAGGGAGAAAGAATATGTGCTGCTTTAGGTATGAAACATCTATAAAAGTTAAACATGCCTAAAAATCGGCGAAGCTGAGTGAGAGTGGTAGGTTGAGGAAAATCTAAAATACATTTGACTTTGTCAGGAAGGGGTTCAATTCCGTTTTCACTAAGGTGAAAACCTAAGAAATCAATAGACGTTTGACCAAAGGTGCATTTTGAAACATTTATGCAAAGTCCATATTCCTGAAGTTTGGAAAATAAAGCTTTCAAATGCCTGCAATGTTCCTCAGAATCTTTAGAGGCTATGAGCAAGTCATCGACGAAAGCGTAAACACCTTCTAAATCCCGCGTGACTTCATCTATAAAATGTTGAAAAGTCGCGGATGCATTGCATAAGCCGAATTGCATACGGGTACTTTCGAATAAACCGAATGGTGTGCATATGGCGGTTTTGTGGATGTCGGCTGGGTTAATTGGTATTTGATGGTATGCCTTAATCAGGTCGACATGACTAAAAATTTTAGTACCGTGCAATGCAGCAGTAAAATCGGCTAAGCATGGAATAGGGTATTTGTCTTTTATTGTTTGAGCGTTCAATGCTCGATAATCTCCTACAGGTCTCCATTCCAGACTTCCCTTTTTTGGGAACCATGTGAAGTGGGGATGCATAATTGCTGCTCGAAGGTCTCAAATGCCCCAATTGCATCATAGTTTGAAATTCTTGTTTTGCTATTTTTAAGCGATCTGGAGCTAACCGACGAGGTTTTGCAACCACAGGTGGACCTTTAGTTATGATATGATGAACGGTGTTGTGTTTAACAGGTTGGTTAGGATCTGGTAATCTAGTAACTGAAGGAAATTCTTTTAAAATTTTGTGATATGGTGTATCACTAAATACAGTTTTTTACTGAATAAATGCTTGCATTTTTCACGCAACCGACGGTTTTTTAAAATGCGTTTTTAAATCTTTGAGACATTTGTTTCTGAGATCAGGCACCAATTCAAAGAAATGGAGAAAATCTGCTCCAAGAAATGGGTGTACTAACATTTGCTATAAGAAAAGTCCATGTAAACTGTCGTCTTAATTTGAAATCCAAAGAAAGTGTTTTTTGACCATAAACATGAATAGTAGAAGAATTAGCAGCGAAAAGTGTTTGTTGGGACGAATTCCGTTTTT